TACACCCACTGGTTCGCCACGGAGTGCTCGTCTTCATCGACGATATCCTGGTACACAGCTGCGATATGGACACTCACATACAGCTTCTGCGACAAGTTTTCCAGCGTCTGCAAGAACACAGCTTGAAAGTGAAACGCAGCAAGTGTTTCTTTGCCCGTCCGCAACTCAGATATCTGGGGCATGAGATCAGTGGTGACGGCGTTCGCACCGACAACAAGAACATCATTGCAGTGCAGCAATGGCCCGTGCCTACAAATGTCAAGGAGGTCCACGGGTTCCTTGGCTTGGCTGGTTATTACCGCAAGTTCGTCCGAGGTTTTGCAATCACCAGTCGCCCGCTGACCGATCTGCTCAAGAAAGGAGTGGTTTTCCGCTGGACAGAATTAGAGGACGGTGCCTTTTGCGCCTTGCAGCAGGCTCTGGTGACTGCTCCCATTCTGGCGCTGCCTAATTTCAAGAAAACGTTTGAACTCGAGACTGATGCATCGGATCTGGGAATAGGTGCAGTCCTGTCTCAAGACAAACACCCTATCGCTTTCCTCAACCGCGCGTTGGGGCCACGCAATAGGCAGCTCTCCACCTATGAGAAAGAAGGGTTGGCCATTCTCATGGCCGTGGACCATTGGCGCGCATACTTGCAAAACGACGAGTTCATTGTGCATACTGATCAGCGCAGTCTCATCCACCTCGAAGATCAGAGGTTGGCAACACCATGGCAGCAGAAGATCATGGCCAAAATGCTCGGGTTGCGTTACCGTATCGTCTACAAGAGAGGTATTGACAACCGCGCGGCTGACGCCTTGTCTCGCAAACCTGGGCCACCTCAAGGCGGCCTCGCAGTCATCACCACCGCAGTACCGACGTGGTTGGAAGTAGTTCAGCAAGGATACACTGAGGATCCAGCGGCACAGAAGATTCTCGCACGCTTGGCGACCTCCACGAGCAATCTGGATGGTTTTCACTTGCAGAATGGGATTATCAAGCAGCACGGACGCATATGGCTCGGGGACAATGTGGAGTTACATAAGCAAGTGCTTGCGGCCTTGCACACCGGAGCAATTGGAGGCCACTCGGGTTTCAACGTCACGTACCGCAGAGTGCGTCGGCTTTTTACATGGCCAGGCCTCAAACATCATGTCAAGCTTTTTGTCGAAGCATGTCAGATCTGCAAGCAAGCTAAACCGGAGCGTGTGCGATATCCCGGGCTCCTGGAGCCATTACCTGTTCCGACCCAAGCTTGGCAACTCATCACCATGGATTTCGTGGAGGGTTTGCCTCGTTCTTCGGGATGCAACTCCATCCTCGTCGTCGTGGATAAATTCTCGCGGTACGCCCATTTCATACCTCTGTCGCACCCCTTCACCGTGTTCCAAGTGGCTCAAGCATTTGTGACTAACATTTACAAATTACATGGCCTGCCGGAGTCGATCGTCTCGGATCGCGACCCACTCTTCACCAGTACCCTGTGGAAGGAACTGTTTCGACTGACGCACACCAAGCTTCGCATGAGCACAACGCGACACCCACAGATAGATGGGCAGACTGGGTGGGTTAATCAGTGTCTGGAGACGTTTCTTCGCTGTTTCGTCCACGCATGCCCAACAAAGTGGTACATGTGGCTTCCGTTGGCGGAGTTCTGGTACAACACTTCACCCCACTCTGCCCTGGGCACATCTCCGTTCGAAGTCCTCTACGGCCACGCCCCGTGTCACTTCGGCATCGTCGATCTAGTGGCGTGTGCATCTCCAGACCTGGCAGTTTGGCTTCAGGACAGGGCGCAGATGACGGCGCTCATCCACCAGCACCTGTTGCGTGCGCGGCAACAAATGAAGGATTTAGCCGACAAGCGCCGCTCCGACCGCATCTTCGCCGTCGATGACTGGGTCTTCCTCAAACTGCATCCCTACGTTCAGCGTTCGGTGGCCACCCGCGCCAACCAGAAACTGGCGTTTCGCTACTTTGGTCCCTATCAAGTGATCCAGCGCATTGGTGCCGTTGCGTACAAGCTCCGTCTACCGGACTCCAGCACTGTTCACCCAGTCTTCCACGTCTCCCAACTGCGGCAAGCACTCCCTCCCACGGAACAGGCGCAAGTCCAACTACCAGCAACGGCTGCTTCAAGTCCCGTACCAGAGGAGATTTTGCAAGACCGGCAAGTGCAACGTGGTGCCGCTCAAGTGTCGCAGGTCCGGGTTCGCTGGACTGATCAACCACCCGAGTTGGCCACGTGGGAAGACCGCGCTGAGCTCCAGCATCATTTCCCAGCGGCACCAGCTTGGGGACAAGCTGTGTCTGAAGGAAGGGGGGATGTTACGCCCTCGAGCAAGGTGGCTCCATCGACCAAGGCCACGCAGGCTCCTGTTGGGCTGGAACGAGCGCGCCGACAGCCCAAGCCCAACAGTCGCTACCCGGCCTATGTGTGGGATACCACGGGCGGAGTTAAAAGCAAGCCAAGCCCTCTTGCGTGAGGTGGCGATTGAGTACTGTACCAGGCGGCGGCTACCTACCCCGATCCCCTTTCCCTTCCCTTGCTTCTCTCTCAAGAACCCTAGCTAACGAGTGAATCGGTGTACCAAAACCATATCTGTGAGTGATTTGCTAGCGGGAGCGTAACACCTGTGAAACTTGTTCTCTCGATGCAATTTTCTCTTTCGATAACTCTCGCTATTTGACTACGTCGCTATCGCCTAGCGGAGTCTTCAACCCGGTGGGTCGGCACCCTCTCAAAATGGCTGCATCGCCTCCGGTCTCAAATGCTCGAATGAATAGGGTAAGCAACCAGGGACAATCGAAGGTAAAGAAACACCATAGATGTCGAGCCAAGGAGACAAGCTCGTCGAGAACAAGGTCACTCATCGCAGAAAGGGATGGTGTTCCCGATGTCGTGGACGTGCAGCCGTCGTTGAGAAGGGGAATCGTATCCCCTTCCGCTAGGGATGAGAACGCCGACCCGCTGGGACCAAACAACATAGGTCGCACTGGATAGCAACACCAAAGGGGAAAGTGCCAGATCTGCAAGATATAATATCGCTTGCCACCGCCACACAAAACTCTAAGCCATCGGATGCCTCCACACCACGGCATCACTCACCCAAAACCATGCCTTCTCGAGGCGGCGTCTTCAGGGAGAACACAGCACGCATGGCACCATCGCCACCCAATCCGAAGCAAATTTCGAGCTTTTGCTCGGGAATGGGGCTGGAGTTGGGAGGATGGGTCCTTATTAGTGGCCTCGAGGGGGTGCCATAACGACAATAGATTGCGCACTCCTGATTCTCCTTGTTTCATACTTCCTCCGTCCCAAAATTCTTGTCTTTTAAGACAAGGATTTTATGACGGAGGTAATATATACTCCCTCTATAAAAGTGATCTAAACGATTTTATATATCTTTACATAAGGAGTACCTTCAATTCTTGTGTGGACGATCTCAATGGCATTCTTAACTATGCAATCTATTTTATTTTGTCCTTTTGTACCTTTCATTTTTCTGGCCGAGCCTCTCGTTCTTTTCGTTGCATCATACAGTACTATTCATATACGTACGACCTTCGTAATAAGTGTGATCATGTGGATAAACGTACGCACCTCTCTCAGTCCAGCTAGTCATGGCAGTGAGCGGTCTGCCTTTCGTACAAAACATGCACACATGACGCACATGAAGCCACCAACTGCTCTAATTTTCGACCCCATTACAGCAAACCAAACACACGTACTCCCTCCGTTCCAAATTACTCATCGCAGAAATAAATGTATTTAGAATTAAAATACATCTAGATACATCCATACATGCGAAAGTAATTCGGAACGGAGGGAGTACGTACGTAACGGCATCGGCATCTTGACGCAGCTTCCTTGATCCAAGACGTAGTCCCTTCTTCCTGACTGCCCCAAATAATTAATCAACAGCTCGGACCCGGCCGTGCATCACTACACATGCATGTGTTAGAGAGTAAGACAACTCTGTGTTGTGTCAGTGGACAAGCCAATCTGAAGAATCTGTCTTAGTTACCGTTCTGCAATCTTGAACTTGTATACTGCCGAAGCGAAGTTTGTTGACCACTAGTGTGCAGCCACACTACTGCTGCGGAATGGTGCTGTTAAGCCTCGCCTAATCGCGCAGTTTAGGGTCGAACTATGTGCGCGATGAAGGCATACAAATAAATCATGTATCTGAAAGTGAAACGTGTGTGATAACTAATCTATCAGGCACGATTTAGAAAAGAGAGCCGCGTGTGCATTGTTCGATCATCCAACGGGCATGGGAGCTCATACTAAAGCACACGAGAAGAGAAGGAGGACAGTAGGGCGGGACATATGGAAATAAGTGGACGCATAAGACGGGTAACAATGTCTTCCGTTGGAACACACATGCATTTGTACTATAGTTGAAATTAACAAATTTAGTGTGTTTAGCATCAAAAGTTCGTTCGTTGCCCTTAGCCACTGAGTAACCCTAGTCCTAGAATGTACTATTTCTTTCGCTGCGGGGGCCTAAAATATCTAGCTACAAGTAACTCTCACCTGTCAAGTATCCCAGTCGACCAATCAACACCAAAATTAAAGGCGCTGTACCCATCAGCAAAGCGACTAGCAGCAGATAGAAAGAGACCAAAAGAGTCTAAAACGCTTTACGTACCACGCAATATCACAAAGATGCGTACGTGACAGACTAGACTGCGCTGCAGCAGGGCCGGCGTCGTCAGTGAAGGGACGAATATGGCTGGAAGCTGCAGCACGCCGCCCCCAGCAGCAGCAGTCCACCGGGGAAGGCGACGTCCCAACGGCCGCCCAAGCCCGCCTATAAATCCCAACGGATCTCCCCGCCGTAACCACACACCAACAACGATCGTCGTCGTCTCGTGCGGCCCCGACACGTGCGTTGCTGGTAGTTACAGTGAGTGATAGTGAGCCATGGCGACGATGAGAGCCGCCGCCGCGCTGCTTGGCGCCGTGGTGCTGCTGTGCGCGCTCCGTCACGGCGGGGCGCAGCGGTACGAGGCCATCTACAGCTTCGGCGACTCCATCTCCGACACCGGCAACCTCTGCGTCGGCGGCTGCCCGTCGTGGCTCACCACGGGCCAGTCGCCCTACGGGGAGACTTTCTTCAAGCGCCCCACCGGCCGCTGCTCCGACGGCCGCGTCATCGTCGATTTCCTCGGTACCTACCTACCACTCGGTCTATGTAAGCTGTAAATATGGCGGCCGACATGATGGTGAACGTGACAAAGTTGGTGTATACGTGTGTGTGCAGCCGAGCACTTTGGGCTGCCGCTGCTGCCGGCGTCCAAGGCCGGCGGCGACTTCAAGAAGGGCGCCAACATGGCGATCATCGGCGCCACCACCATGGACTTCGCCTTCTTCCAGTCCATCGGCCTCAGCGACAAGATCTGGAACAACGGGCCCCTGGACACCCAGATCCAGTGGTTCCGGAAGCTCCTCCCGTCGGCCTGCGGCAAGGACTGCAAGAGGCACCTCTCCAAGTCCCTGTTCGTGGTGGGCGAGTTCGGCGGCAACGACTACAACGCGGCGCTCTTCTCCGGTCGCACCATGGCCGACGTGAGGGGCTACGTGCCGCGGGTCGTCAGCCACATCGTCCGTGGCCTCGAGGTAACCTACTCCCTACTTTGTCCACCACCTCCCCACTAATCTCACCGGCTCCTCTCAGGTAGGTGGCTGATGTGATCATCTAACATTGTGTGTGTTAATTTGGACGTATTTTTGTGCAGAACATGATCAGACTAGGCGCGATGGACGTGGTGGTGCCGGGGGTGCTCCCCATCGGGTGCTTCCCGATCTACCTGACCCTCTACGGCACCTCCAACGCCGGCGACTACGACGGCGACGGGTGCCTCAAGAGCCACAACGAGCTCTCCGCCCACCACAACTCGCTGCTCCGGCGGAGCCTCGCCAACCTCCAGAGGACCTACCCCCGCACCAGGATCATGTACGCCGACTTCTACGCGCAGGTCATCCAGATGATCCGGGCCCCTCAGAATTTCGGTAAGTTGATGATGCAGTTTCGTCTTCAAAACTTTTAAGTTACACATGTCTATATATAGCAACCATACATATCTTCCTATATGTTTAAAAATCTTCCCACGGCGCATTGTTGTACTACTACATGTGAAGTAGGAATATCCATCCTTGTGTAAAGTCGTTGTGCCCGGCCAAACATGCCTGTCCGGAGCAGCAAGGCGACGCCGTCTTTACATGTGAAGTAGGAATCGAGCTGCCGTGAGAGAGTTGAAGTTTCGGTGATCACGACACGCACGTTCATTCAGTAGGTGTAGACAGGTAGCTAGGGCACACGGGGGGCATGCAAGCACGCTCATGGCCTAGCTACCTAGCTACTCCGCGAGAGACATACATACATTTATCCAAAGTTGAGTCACATTGCTGCTTTCTTTGACGTAGAGAAAAGCTAAGCTAGGTGCATGCACGCACAATAAGCTTTGGACAATATGGTCTCCTGGATTCTTAGCCCACCGGCGACTCATTCGGCTAATTATCAGTGGTCGAGTTGTATATGCTCTCTCTCGGGACCATGACCCCTGTCTCTGTCCTGTCCATATAATTTGGGAATCAATACCCGTCTAACCAGTTGGCATGCATGCATGACCCAATTATTATGAAATGAGGGCGTGACAGTGTGCGTATAGTATAGTAATACTGACGCAAATCACTGTGCATGCATGTGACGGGCTCTTCTTTCCGTGTATAACGGCGTATAATTTGACAGAGAGATGCCCCGAAAAGTCATGTTCACGAAGATAATAATACTAGCATGCCCATGTTCATGATACTGTGCACGATCTCATCCATCACGTACCATAATCGTCTCCTCATGGTCATCGGTACGTGACAAAGCGGTCTGGATCACGCATCAGGACGCATACTGATTGGCAGTAGTAAAATGAAGAACAAGGATGCATGGGCTGATAGAAACGGCTTTGGTGCGTGTGGTTTTCAGGCCTCAAGTACGGGCTGAAGGTGTGCTGCGGCGCCGGCGGGCAGGGCAAGTACAACTACAACAACAAGGCGAGGTGCGGCATGGCCGGGGCGAGCGCCTGCGCCGACCCGCAGAACTACCTCATCTGGGACGGCATCCACCTCACGGAGGCGGCGTACCGTTCGATCGCCAACGGGTGGCTCAAGGGCCCCTACTGCAGCCCCCGCATCCTGCACTGATCATTTTTATTTATGGATTCGTTGTTTTATTTATTTACTTTATTGACTTGATGATGCGTTTTCTGATCAAGTGTGGTGGGATCAATCGATGCGTCATGTGTGTGTGTGTGTGTGGATGTAACAGCTAATATATATGATGGATGTTCATGGGGTAATTAATTAATTATTAGGTTGCCTCCGGAGAATGAATAAATAAAACTATAGATGTGTTGTTTGAGGTAATTATATCATTTAACTGTAAACTGAGGAAATAGCTTCGAGCCCCTCTGATTAACTAAACTGAGGGAATGAATTCAACAAGGTCATCACTTCCCTTGCTATGTTTGGTCAGTTCCGCTTGACAATGATTTTGGTGATTGATTCCGCATCAATCCATTTGCTATGACGTTCGCGGCCGATTTCCTTCATCCGCCATGTTCGTCAAGTCTTGGCATGCATTTGCGAATCAATCTATGGTTGGATGTTTAGGAGGACAGTGGTATCCCCAACCCATCAGAGTTGAAGTTCTAGACTTGATATTGGTGCTCGCATTTTTCTAAATTTATTTCAGACTTTCTAACGATGTGCTTTCAGTGAAAGGAGACTTTTTCGTCGACTACGAAGACGACTGTGGCGGCGCCGTCCATCTCAAGATAATGTGTCAGCTCAGTCTCTTGAAGATGCTAATAGGGGTAGGGCGTACGTGTGTGTGTGTGTTTATAAAGATGAGTGTATGGACAAACGACTCCACGACAAAGTTTTCTTGCTAGGCCGGTTTTTGCAGGCCCATTTCACGTGGAACACTTTGAAAATTTCAAAGTTAATAGCCTAGGTGTTGACCAATCCAGGCTCCAGTCCAGCTGGTCAAGGGTGAAGAGGAGGCTGTTGGGGAACGTAGTACTTTAAAAAAATTCTTACGATCACGCAAGATCTAACTAGGATATGCATAGCAACGAGAGGGGAGAGTGTGTCCACGTACCCTCGTAGACCGAAAGCAAAATCATTTAGTAACGCGGTTGATGTAGTCGAACGTCTTCACGATCCAACCCATCCAAGTACCGAACGTAAGACACCTCCGTGTTTAGCACACGTTCCGCACGGTGACGTCCCTCGAGCTCTTGATCCAGTTAAGGACAAGGGAGAGTTCCGTCAGCACGACGGCGTGGTGACGATGTTGATGATGTGATCCGCGCACGGCTTCGCCTAAGCACTACGACAATATGACCGAGGTGGTAAACTGTGGAGGGGGACACCACACACGGCTAAGACAATTGATCTTGTGTGTTCTAGGGTGTCCCCTGCCTCCGTATATCAAGGAGAAGAGGGGGATACTGGTCGGCCCCTGTAGGGCGCGCCAGAAGAGAGGAGTCCTACTAGGACTCCGAGTCCAAGTAGGATTCCACTTGGTGGAAGGGGGAAGAAGGAAGGGAGAGGGAGAGGGAAAGGGGGGCCGCGCCCCCTCCCCTAGTCCTATTTGGACTCCCCATGGGGGCGCCACCTCCTCGTGGCCTGCCCTCTCTCTTCCCTAAGGCCCATGTTGGCCCATTACTTCCCCTGGGGCTTCCGTAACCCTTCGGCACTCCGTTTTTACTCGGTACCTCTCGGAACTCTTCCAGTGTCCGAATAACATCGTCCAATATATCATTCTTCATGTCTAGCCCATTTTGAGACTCATCGTCATGTCCGTGATCTCATCCGGGAGTCCGAACAAACCTCAGTCATCAAAAACACATAACTCATAATACAAATCGTCATACGTTAAGCGTGCGGACCCTACGGGTTCGAGAACGATGTAGACATGACCGAGACACATCTCCGGTCAATAACCAATAGCGGAACCTGGATGCTCATATTGGCTCCTACATATTCTACGAAGATCTTTATCGGTCAAACCACATAACAACATATGTTATTCCCTTTGTCATTGGTATGTTACTTACTCGAGATTCGATCGTCGGTATCTTTATACCTAGTTCAATCTCATTACCCGCAAGTCTCTTTACTCGTTTCGTAATGCATCATCCCGTAACTAACTCATTAGTCACATTGCTTGCAAGGCTCATAGTGATGTGCATTACCGAGAGGGACCAGAGATACCTCTCCGATACACGGAGTGACAAATCCTAATCTTGATCTATGCCAACTCAACAAACACCATCGGAGACACCTGTAGAGCATATTTATAATCACCCAGTTACATTGTGACGTTTGATAGCACACAAGGTGTTCCTCCGGTATTCAAGAGTTGCATAATCTCATAGTCAGAGGAACATGTATAAGTCATGATGAAAGCAATAACAATAAAACTAAACAATCATTATGCTAAGCTAACGGATGGGTCTTGTCCATCACATCATTCTCTAATGATGTGATTCCGTTCATCAAATGACAACACATGTCTATGGTTAGAAAACTTAACCATCTTTGATTAACGAGCTAGTCAAGTAGAGGCATACTAGGAACACTCTGTATGTCTATGTATTCACACATGTACTAAGTTTTCGGTTAATACAATTCTAGCATGAATAATAAACATTTATCATGATATAAGGAAATATAAATAATAACTTTATTATTGCCTCTAGGCATATTTCTTTCAGTCTCCCACTTGCACTAGAGTTAATAATCTAGATTACATAGTAATGATTCTAACACCCATGGAGTCTTGGTGTTGATCATGTTTTGCTCGTGAGAGAGGCTTAGTCAACGGATCTGCAACATTCAGATCCATATGTATCTTGCAAATCTCTATGTCTCCCTCCTTGACTTAATCGCGGATGGAATTGAAGCGTCTCTTGATGTGTTTGGTTCTCTTGTGAAATCTGGATTGCTTCGCCAAGGCAATTGCTCCAGTATTGTCACAAAAGATTTTCATTGGACCCGATGCATTGGGTATTACACCTAGATCGGATATGAACTCCTTCATCCAGACTCCTTCATTTGCTGCTTCCGAAGCAGCTATGTACTCCTCTTCACACGTAGACCCCGCCACGACGCTCTGCTTGGAACTTCACCAACTGACAGCTCAACCATTCAATATAAATACATATCCGATTTGTGACTTAGAGTCATCTAGATCAGTGTCAAAGCTTACATCGACGTAACCATTTACGACGAGCTCTTTGTCACCTCCATAAATGAGAAACATATCCTTAGTCCTTTTCAGGTATTTCAGGATGTTCTTGACCGCTGTCCAGTGATCCACTCCTAGATTACCATCAGGTCTGGTACACAACATTGCATACATGATAGAACCTATGGCTGAGGCATAGGGAATGACTTTCATTTTCTCTCTATCTTCTGAAGTGGTCGGGCATTGAGCCTGACTCAACTTCACACCTTGTAACATAGGCAAGAACCCTTTCTTTGACTGATCCATTTTGAACTTCTTCAAAACTTTATCAAGGTATGTGCTTTGTAAAAGTCCAATTAAGCGTCTTGATCTATCTCTATAGATCTTGATGCCCAATATATAAGCAGCTTCACCGAGGTCTTTCATTGAAAAATTCTTATTCAAGTATCCTTTTATGCTATCCAGAAATTATGTATTATTTCCAATCAACAATATGCCATCCACATATAATATTAGAAATGCTACAGAGCTCCCACTCACTTTTTTGTAAATATAGGCTTCTCCAAAAGTATGTATAAAACCATATGCTTTGATCACACTATCAAAGCGTATATTCCAACTCCGAGAGGCTTGCACCAGTCCATAAATGGATCGCCGGAGCTTACACACTTTGTTAGCACCTTTAAGATCGACAAAACCTTCTGGTTGCATCATATACAACTCTTCTTTAAGATATCCATTAAGGAATGCAGTTTTGACATCCATTTGCCAAATTTCAAATCATAAAATGCGGCAATTGCTAACATGATTCGGACAAACTTAAGCATCGCTACGGGTGAGAAGGTGTCATCATAGTCAACTCCTTGAACTTGTTGAAAACCTTTCACAACAAGTCGAGCTTTGTAGACAGTAACATTACCGTCAGCATCAATCTTCTTCTTGAAGATCCATTTATTCTCTATGGCTTGCCGATCATCGGGCAAGTCAACCAAAGTCCACACTTTGTTCTCATACATGAATCCCATCTCAGATTTCATGGCCTCAAGCCATTTCGTGGAATCTGGGCTCATCATCGCTTCCTCATAGTTCGTAGGTTCGTCATGGTCAAGTAACATGACCTCCAGAACAGGATTACCGTACCACTCTGGTGTCGATCATACTCTGGTTGACCCACGAGGATCGGTAGTAACTTGATCAGAAGTTTCATGATCATCATCATTAGCTTCCTCACTAATTGGTGTAGGAATCACTGGAACTAATTTCTATGATGAACTACTTTCCAATTCGGGAGAAGGTATAATTACCTCATTAAGTTCTACTTTCCTCCCACTCACTTCTTTCGAGAGAAACTCCTTCTCTAGAAAGGATCCATTCTTAGCAACGAATATCTTGCCTTCGGATATGTGATAGAAGGTGTAGCCAACAGTTTCCTTTGGGTATCCTATGAAGACACATTTCTCCGATTTGGGTTCGAGCTTATCAGGTTAAAGCTTTTTCACATAAGCATTGTAGCCCCAAACTTTAAGAAATGACAGCTTAGGTTTCTTGCCAAACCACAGTTCATATGGTATCGTCTCAACTGATTTAGATGGTGCCCTATTTAACATGAATGCAGCCGTATCTAAAGCGTAACCCCAAAACAATAGTGGTAAATTAGTAAGAGACATCATAGATTGCATCATTGTAAGTGCATCTAGTGCCCCTTAGTGATTTTGGTGTATTGAAGACTTATAGGTTAAGGGACTAATGTGTTTATGAGTGTACACAGGTCTATAAGTCTATGAGGAGTTTGATATTTACAGAGAAAGTCGACCCCTAAAAATGAAGTTCTTCGACTGAAGACTTTGGATTTCTGAAGACTTTCTGAAGACTTTGAAAGTGAAGAAATTGGTGCAATCCTGAAGACTTGGTATTCATTCGAGGAACATGAAGCGTGAAGACTTTTGTT